AGCAGGAATTCTGCCCCATGGCAGTACTGCTGCTGACTTCAGTACAAACCTTTGATACAAACAACATATGTTAACTCACATTTTCTTTTATCCACAATTAACATTAAAGAAATCTAAGAAGAGGAACAGCATCCTGTGTGTTTGGTGCAAGAGGTGCCTCACTGAAGTCCCTGTTACACTTCCTTCACCCTTGCAATGAGCATTAATCAAACCAAAGCCAGCAATATACATCACAAATATTTCCTGCCACCGCAGCCCCAAGCTCTCCTCAGTGTCCAGTGGCCCTAAGAAGCCCCTGGAGCTGTACCAAAGCACCTTCCGTGCTGCAGAGGAGACACCTAAGCCTTGCAGGGCTTCCTGGGCACCAAGCAGTTCTGGGGCTTGCTGACAGCCCGGCTATAAACCCGTATACTACCTATGTACGTGCAACGACAGCCCATGTTTTGACCAAATAGCGACTGGGCTGAATTTGTAAAGGATTTTGGGGGACATGGAGACAGGGAATGGGTTGGAGGGACTGCAGGGAGCACCGACAACCTGCTGGAGGGAGGGGAAGGTGCTCTGATAAAGTGGGATCCAAATTCCTCCAGTATATTGCGACACCCCCAAAGGCCATGGCAGCATCAGCATCTCAGGGATGCAGTACATGCCTTTGCCCTGTGCCTTACCTTCACTGAAGACAAAATCCGCAGTGATGTCAAAGGGCTGGACACGCACTTCCGACAGCAAGAGCTGCACAGACTTCTGGTGGTCGCTGGACATGAGGGAGATGGTCTGCTGTGCCTGGCACTTGTAGGACTTCCCAGCTGGGGTGACCAGGGCAGAGAGCCGGTGTGAACTGGCCGTGTGCTTCCCAGCTGGCCAAGGGGCAGAAACAGCAGAGGTCAGGTCCCATCTCTGGGGGACCGATGTGATTTCAGTAACAAAGCTAATGAACTGAACGTAAGGGTATGCAGGCAGTGTGCAACGCGGCGGCCGCACGCTTCGTTGCTCTTAAAGCAGTATTTTCTCCTGGGGTGGGACCATGCTTTGGCATGACCCCCCACGTAGACAGGGCAATTCCAACACCAGGGTTTCCTGCCGCAAGCAGGAACGGACGGCTGCAGTGTGCAGTCCTGCTGGCACAAAAGGAGAGCTGGCTCTGCCACTGTCAGCTATGCTCATGTCACAGGACTTGAAGCACCTACAGTCAGAGAAATGGTTTCTATTGACGTATATACAGGTTTCAGCCTTGGACTGCACTCATACTCCCTATGTTCAGGAAACAGCAAGTCCTGAGGCTGCGCTTGGGCTCTGAATTCAGGCAGGAAGGAGTAATGCAGTTTGAGGAACTCACTACAAAGCAAAACAGGCTATTAACACCTTTCCTAAAAATACAACATGACCATTTCACCCAGGTAGAGATTACAAGAAAATATCTTCCCATCACATCAAGCTTGTTTTACAAATGGAGGCCGAATGCGGCTCAGCAAGGTGGAATGAGGGATGCCTTCCATCTCCTGCTCTTCTGCAGCCCTTTGTTCCCCTCCAGTAGCACAGAAAGGCAATCAGTGTTTTGCTTTTGTAGAGGCTGATAAGGCACGACCACCACTGTGTTATGGGGAGAAAACAGTAGAAACACCAGTAGGAAAAATAGCTCTGTGTCCAGTGTGTCTTATACCAGAAACTCTTAAAACTCCATTCACTGGAGTTTGAAAATCTCAAGGAAGAAGAACTTGCAATGACAGTATTGCAGTTTTCAATATAAGACAACTTAGTCTGAGCAGAAATTAGATAAAAACAAAATTAAAGCCAAAAGAGAAGAAATACAGTCAGAAAAGAGGAGTCTGTTGGATTTGGAGGCGTGTAAGGGTATGGATATTGATGTTGATCTCTCAACCATCCTGGGAAACTGCTGCTTTCCTACCTATTCTCACCCATCACCAGAACCGAGGAGATAATTAACCTTAAAAAACATCTCCTCCAGGAAAGGAGACAAATTTTTCCAGATCAAGCTAGAAATTTTTTCCAGATCAAGCTGCTGCCCACCCCTCGGGCCCCTGGGTCCCGCTTTGTGAGGCAGGTTTGGGGTTTTATTTTTCCCAACTAAACTGCATTTAGATGAGTAGCCCGCGGGGTGCCCATCCCGTGTCCCCCTCTCCCCTGGCTCTGTGCTGGCCAGACCGCAGGGATCTGCTTTACACCGTGTCCCCCCCGGGGCGCTTACGGCTGACGGCGTCCTTGAAGTACGTGCGCTCGGCGGTGTCATAGATGAACTGTACCCGGCTGAGCCTCCAGAAAGCCTCCTGTCCCCGGGACGTGTTGTGCCCCTCCTGC